CCTGGGCTCGGGCGCGGGGCGGGGACTCCCGGCCGGTCGGCTCCGACCCGCCGTGGCTCAGCTAGACTGGAATCCTAAACGCAGCATTGACGCCTGCGAAGCACGTCCGTCTGGTGTGCTAAGTAAATTAACGCATTTTGGGTTTTGTTTGTTTTTTTCATTAAGTTTATTGGTTTATTTTAGGTATACAACACAGTTACATTCGTCATTGGGATCTTTTACCTTTACATGATGTGTCTTAGTTCTTATTTTTTTCCACATTCCCTGCCCTCCCTTCACCCACTCCACCCTTCCTCGTTTACAAAGACTTTGTTTCCTTTTTTTCCTTTTCTCATAGATTTTTTTCTTTTTTTCCCTTCCCCATTCCTCCCACGTCCTCTTCTCCTTTAGATCTTATCTATTTCACATCATCTGTTTTACATTCTGATTCTTATTTACACTTTCAGTTTCTCACACCAGAGAAACTATTGGTATTCACACGTGTGTCCTATTTATTTCACGTAAGAGTATGGCCTGCATGTGCATCCATTTAGCTGTAAATGACCCTAGTTTCTCTGTCTTTATCGCTGAGTAGTAGTCCATTTCCTAAACAAAAAACATCTTTATCCAATCTCCAGTTGATGGGCAGTTGGGCTGTTGCCAAGTTTTAGCTATTACAAACTGCAGCTATAAACTTACTGTTTTTTGAAATTTTAATTTTTATTAGTATGTGTTTGCAGTACATAATGGTTACATTCATCCGGAGTTGGTATATGTCATACCACATCGTAATGCCATGTGGGTTTCATATGGGTGATCCCTGCACTGATCCCATTTTACAGATTGAAAAGTTGAGGCACAGAGTGGCCAGATAATTTGCCAAAATTTGACTGGAGTCTTGGGCTGGAAAGAGGATTCCCTTCTTGCCTATTCTACTTACCTTTTTGCTTCCGTCTTTGGGCAGGTCGCCAATCTTTAGTTCTCAGTTTCACTCACATTGTAAAATGTGGGAGCAGTATCTGCTACAGTTTAAATACTATGTATAGTTGTTGTGCTGTATTGTGTGAAGAATAATGCAAGAAACTGAAATCTGTGCATGTTCTGTACAGATGGAGTTTTCTTTTTTTTTAGGTCCAAGGTTGGGTCCATGGATACAGAACCCACAGATACAGAGGGACAACTGTATTTACTTTCTAGAGTTACTGTGAAGACTTAAAATAATGCATAAAAAGCACTCAAGATGCCTGGTGTAGAGGCTGCACCAGTTACTGTGATTACTTCCACGACAGCTTTTCCCCAATTGGCTGAGGTGCCATTGCGCAGCATGTTCAGTATGTTGTGCTCTCCTTCCAAAGCGGTTGAGAGGAGGAGCCTATTGCAGTTAGTGACATTTGCTGGGCGGCACCAGGCACTCTTTGAGCTTACTTACAGAGCAGTTGGGATTCTACAGCTCCTAACTGATTTGCCCGTGTGGAGAGAGAAGGGCTGTGTGGGGCTGAGAATGTTATAAAATGTGGCACTTGCAGGGTCAGTGTTTAGGAGGGGCACTGAGCTTGGGCTGGGGACAATGTTTTAATCATGTTACCTTGGGCAGGGCGTGAGTGAGGAGCTGAGGAAGTTTATACAGTGTGTTACCCTTACAGTTCTGGAGGGAGGACCCAGCATTCCATAAATGAGCCCTGAGGGCAAGCACAGACGGAGGAGGGAAATGTGGGCCGCTGTCGTCATTGTTACTTTCACAGGAAGGAAAGGGTGAAGCAGGGGAGCAGGCTCAGGACCAGTTAGTTGAAAGTGACAGCCCTGGGAAATCCAAGTCCCCTGTGATAGAATGTAGGGTTTAAGCCTAGCAAGGACTCTGAATATCTGTGGTTGGGTCACGGTTTCTTAGAGACAGCTGTAGGACTTTAGGTGGGTATTAATTTACAGTGATTAGAAGTCTGTTTGATACAGGGAAGGAACAGAGACTAGCAGATTGGCTTGGTCGCTGTTCTCCCTTGGTTTGCCTCCTGTGCACAGCGTACCTTTGCTGAGCCCAGGTGGAAGTTATAGGCAGTTGGAATTTTCTCCCACCACCCTGACCCCAGAGTTCCTCATGACACTTTTCCCTTTGCAGATCTACCTTGCCAGCACGGTGTGCTCCTTTGACGAGGAAACTGAGAAGGAAGGGATGGCTGTGGATTTGCCGCCTGCTCAGGCTGCAGTAAGTAAAGTTTATCTTTTTTTATGAACTGCTCTCTGGGTTCAGAGATGTGAACACATTTACATACTTTGTCCAGGTATTTTTCTGAGAAAACTGGGCTTATCAAAGGGTTGCTAAGGAATCTGTCTCTTTGTCTCCAGGTCAGTCTTTTTTCTTTTCTTTGGTAGTAGGAATTGAAGCTAGGGATTTGCACATGCTAGGCAAGTGCTTTACCACTGAGTCAACATCTTTTTAAAAAAAGACTTTTTTGAGACAGCATCTTGGCTAACTCTGAACTTGTAAACCCCCTGCTTTAACGTCCAGGGTAGCTAGGATTACAGACTCATGCCACTGTGCCTGGCTCTGGGTCACTCTTAATTCACCCCAAGTCATTTCATGATCAGAACCTGAATATATACTTTCTGTTGGTGAAGAGTACAGGCTAGTAGACAAGTCTGTCTTCACAGAGGAGTTAATCATAGTTGGAGCAACGACACGAAGGACAGAAGACTCCTTCCACAAAAATTTAGAGCACCACCTTTGTATGGGATGCTGGCAGTACACTGGGGATACAGGGGAAAGATGTGATTTCTTTCTTTAAGTAATTCATGGTACTGATTTTAAGGAGTATGAGTAGACATACAAAGTGATTTAAGGGAAACATCATAGAAGGATTTGCAATTGATAGTGAAGGACGAGACTGGTACTGGTAACTAGAGAAGACCAAGTATATCCCAGAACGGGCTCAGCCTGGCTTGGGCTGAGAGGCTTGCACTGGGGGCAGGGCTGGGTCTTCCTCTGCGCAGTGCTGCTGTGATGCTGAACCGGCCAGTGTCCTCTTTGTTGGCCCAAGGGTTGTCTCATCTCCACGTCACACTCTGATTGCTTTTCCCCTGCTCCCTCCGTCTTCCCTCCTGCCCCCTCTCTCTTCCCTTTGAGACTGATGCTCATGACTGTACCCATTTCTGAGGCTCTCTCCCAGTCGCTGGCTGTCCTTCAGCCTCTTGGAGTTGCAGTCTGCAGTTCCCAATTCCTTGGAAATACTTCCATGTGGAATTGCCGTCTCTCCCTTGGCATCAGCTCCCTTCTGCATTGCTTTCGTTCTGGGGATTGTTGATTTCACCACACCCCAGAGCCTGCTTTCGTGGTTGCTTTTCTTTTTTTCTTTTTATTGAGTTTATTGGTATATTATAGGTATACAGTACAGTTAACATTCATGACTGGGATCTTGTACCTTTACATGACAGGTCCTGGTTCTTATTTTTTCCCCTTGTTCATGGTTGCTTTTCTAAAAGACAGTGGTAGACCACAGGTTAAAACAAGGTCTCTGGAGCTACACTTCATGGGCTCGAAGGCAAGCCAGGCGTGTGAGCTTGGGCGAGTTATTTCTTTATCTCTGGAGATGCTTGGATGTCCGGTTTTTGACTCATGGACAAACAAGATAAGGGCAGCATATGTGTTTAAAATCAAACAGGCTACCCCAAGAAATCTTTTTACTGATAGTTTGCAACTGGCCTGCGTTGTTTGACAGGCCTACTTGACTGCACAAAAGGCTTCTGCTGGGAGTTCTTCCTTTGATCCCCCCAGCACCACCAAGCAGACCCAGAGAGGCAGGACAGCAGTCCCCGTGAGGGAGGCGGGACAGCGGTCCCTTTGAGAGAGGTGGGCCTGCATGCGCTCCGTGTGTGCAGATAGGGAGGCTGCAGTGGTATTTCTCCCAGCCTCTCCAGGATTCCCTGCACTCTGGTTGCACTGCAACTCTTGGCCTTTAGGTAAAAGCCTCACCTGAGTATATTCCCTGAAGTCTGGTGTGTCCTGTCAGCTCTTTGAACTTGGAAAGTCTTTTTAGCAACCACAGCATGAAAAAGAAGTAATGGTGCCCTGTATACTTGCAAAGTTCTTGCCTTGTATGTGAAAATATATATTTATTCTAAATAGCCTAAGTATAACCAAGAATTGGTATCATAATTTTCATAGCAACCCCTAAAAATGCAGAGTTCCAACTAAAAAGTCAGTATGTAAATTAATGTGGAATCTAAAAGAATTCAAGGGCTGAAGGTGAAGCGCAGTGGGGGAGCACATGTTTAGCATGTGTGAGGCCCTGGGTTTGATGCCTATCACTGCAAAATAAATAATAAAAGAATTCAAAAGAAAGGACCACCCCCACCCACACACACACAGGAAAGAAAAGTAAGCCTGGTGGAAAGATTTAAAGAAATAAATGAAAGCCTTGCATTGGCACATGCCTGAAAGCTACTTTGGAGCCTGAAGCAGGAGGATTGCAAGTTTGAGGCCAGTCTGGGCAACATAGATCCTATTTGAAAACAAAAAGAGCTGGTGATATAGATCAGCGGTAGATCACTATTAGATTCAGGCTCTAATTTCACAGAAAGAAAAAAGAGGGAGGGAATAAATGGAAGATTGTTTTTCTACTTTTCTCCACAAATATCAAAGAATAATCTGGGCCACATCTTGTATTCTTTCATATATTTTTTGTGTGTACTGTGTATGTGTACAGAATTTTTCAACAAATAGAGATTGTCTTGTAACTTGCTTTTTTCATAAGAATCAATGATACTAAAAACAAATTCCAGGGGCCGGGGATTTAGCTCAGCGGTTCGGTGGCCTGCCTTGCAAGCACAAGGACCCGAGTTCAATCCCCGGTTCCAAAAAAAAAAAATTTTTTAAAAAAAAAAAAAAAAAAAAAAAATTGCAATATCTGGCATACAAACTTACCTCATTCTGTTTTTTGTTTTTTGTTTTTTGTTTTGTACCAGGGATCAAACCAGGGGTCCTTGTGCTTGTGAGGCAGGCAGCGAAATCACTGAGCTAAATCCCCATCCCGCCTCATTCTATTTAAAGGCTGCACAGCATCTCAAGGAATTAAGCGTAGAATTAAGGTTTCTCTGTTCACTTCTTGATAGACATGTAGGTTGTCTTCCTTTTTCACCATTGTATTAGTTTCCTGTTACTGCTATAACAATTTATCACAAATTCAATAGCTTGACACAACATAAATTTATTTCTCTTATAGCTGTGTAAAACAGAATTCTGAAATTACTTTCACTGGCTTAAGCTCCAACTGTCAGTAGGGTGAAGTCCTTCTGGAAACTGAGGGGGGATATCGGTTTCTTGTCCTTTACACAGTGCCGGGGCTGCCTGATTTTCTTGGCCTACAGCCCTTTCATCCATATTCGAAACTCGTCCTGTCAGTACCTGTTTTGTCATCGCATCGCCCTTTTCTCTCATGCCAGATTCCTCCTGGTGGTTCTTATAAGGACCATTGTGAGCACAGTGGGTCCACCTTGATAATAACTCATGATATCTCATCTCCAGATCCTTGCTGTATCAAATCTTAAGTCCCTTTTGTCATGCATGTGACTTTTACGGGATCAGTATTCAGCCTACTGCAACCATTAAATAATAATGTTGCAGTAAATATCCTTGAGCAGGTATCTACCTAGTTGTGTGGATATTTCTGGTGGTATAATCCCAGAAGTGCAAGGTCAGAGTGGTGTCCCTTTTACATTTTCACAGATTCTCAGCAAAATACCCATTCAAAACATTGTGCCATTTTTGTTCTCTTAGCTCTTATGTTGCATAAAAGAGTTGCCATCTGCCCAGCTTGTACCTTCCTTTTTGAGTTTTAACTGGCCTTCTCTTGTCAGAGCTTTCTTAGTAGTTTCCTCTTGCATTTGAATCGTCTTAAAGGTTTTGTGGTTCTTTTGATTTTCATAGTCAATGGACACCCATTAGACAGTATAATTTAGAGGTCAGTCTACCCGAATTCAAATCTTAGCTCACCGCTTTCTAAAGGCATTACCTTGGGAAGGTTATTTGACTTTCCTAGATCCATTTTTTTCTTCCTCAAAACTATATAATTGTAGTACTGTAGGAAATACAAATGGGAAAGACAAACCCACTCAAAAGAAATGGAGGAAAGCTTTATTTGACCGGCCAGCCCAGTGGAGCTGGCCATAAAGACCTGGGCTCTGAATTAAAGAAATGGGGGAGTTTTATACAGTAGTTTCGGTTGGGGACAGCGATAACGTTACTATCTTGAGGTTGGGGCTTTCTATAGGAACAGGATGTTCCCATAGCAAAACACAACAGATACCAGGTACATATTATGAACATTGAGGCCAACTGGATACATTTTCCAGTATAACAGAGAGGACATAACAGAATACATATTATGAACACTAAAGCTAAAATAATATACATACACACACACACACACAC